CTGCTCAGTTGAACCCAAAAGGAATCCAGCTTGTGTGCTCTGAGACAGCTAAGGAACACAAAGCAAAGTGGAGGTGATCAGAAGATTCAGTTCCTGAGTGCATTTTTATTCCAAACTAAAATTTTAATGTACACATGCTGCAGTGCATTGCACCAAAGTAGTTGATTCCAGTTGTTTTCTGATGACCTGTTCCAGTTCAGCAGCATACTAGTCCTGCATACATTTAATGTTACTCTATTAAAATTTCTAATTTCAATTACTATCACGAATATTCAGTATTCTCAATTCTCCACATAATTCTCCATCTGCCTCCACTGACCGGGTAGACACAAAATACAAATCAAACTTTATGCACCTTTTACACAATTGAAAGTACTACAGCCAACTGATGTGAAGCTTGATTGTCTAAAACTTTACCATTTGAAGGAATAAAACAATCAATTTAGTATCCACTAGTTTAAGCCCACTGAGAAACACTGTATGTAAGGAAAAAAAAAAAAAGGTCAGTTGGTTTAATTCCTGAAGTGAAGGAAGGCAAAATCCACGTTTAGGACAGTTCTCTTCAGAAAAATAGCAAAACCACTGATCATCAATCAAACCTACTTCATCCTTTTGGCTAAAATATATCAGTTCTCATGATGCTACCAATTTTATTCATCTGCAATGACTGCACTAGCATCTCTGAGTTTCAAAGACACTGACATAATCTCTTGGACAAGAGAAAGCCATGTTTTGTTTTGTTGCCTAAGTATCAGAAGATTTTATCAGATAAGTAATGTTTAAATGTTTGGCAGGTATTCATTTTAGTACAGGTTGTGGAATTAGACAAAACAAACTTCCAACCATCTCTTGCAAGAAATGCATTAAAAAACTAATCTTTCTCCTAAAGACCTTGTACAGGGAACTCAAGAGGTTCTTGCATGGAAAGTGCATGTCCTGACTTTCAGGAGTTTTAGCAGCAAATACAGAACCATGATGCCCACAAAGGAGAAAGGTATGATGGTTTAGAGAAGAAGTGAAAAGAGAAGAAACTAGTCACTCAGCCTCTGTGGCTGGTCTCATAGATACTCAAGTTTTGCAAGCCTCATTTCATACATGCTTATCAAGATGCTGTTCAAGTACATTAACTACCAAGTCCAGGAATAATTTAATGTTTTACTTCAGCAAATTGAGAGCGTTGTATTTTAATTCAATTCAAGGATCACTGTTTCATGGGAGATGGAAGAACAGTTCAGCTATAAACATTTTCTCATATCTCTAATTTGCTTTCAACTAAATCCTGTTTAACATGAAAATTAACTGTTGTTTACCAGATTTTCATTTACGAAAAATCATTCATGTTGTTGCACCAAAGGTTATGACTTAAAAGTAACATAATAAGCTTCTGATTCCATACAATTTTTTTGCCCTGAGGACAGTGGCCAAAGTTACTAAGTCTAGAGCAGCTTCAACTACACTGTTTTTTTCCCCAGTACCTTCTTATAGCTGTCCAGCAAAGTCTGATCAAGATGCAGAACTTCATGGATTATATATGAGCAGACACTTTATCAGCCAAACTGCATAGTCATTGATTACCATTCAGTCAGCTGATACGGGTTTTGAGCTAGTGAAGGCTGTGCAGGGAGGGAGGTTTAGTGTAACTACTTTGTAATTCAAGAAAAAAGTACTATAACCAAGTTAGTTCTTTGCCATTGGATTTTTAGCAGTGGTATTTTCGTGGCTTACCCAAAATTAGTCTTAACCATTCAGTTAGACAGTAATTGCAAAAGGTCAGAACTTCACTCTTGCAGCTTTTGAATGTCGTCTTTAGGTGAATAAATATCACCAAACACTTGAAACTAACAATTTTCACAAGATACTCCTTACACACATCTAGTGTTATTTCAATTTACTCTTTTGACCCAGTAACTTTGAAAAAGCTATTTCCATCACACTCAGTAAGAATTAAAAATATGTTGGGTTTCATCTGCTATTAACATGCAGTGTTTTTCCTGGAATTCTGCTTCGACTTGAAATTTAGAAGAAAAAGCTTGACAATATTAAGACCCAACATTCATTCACCCTCAATATGAAAACATTATGAACTTCTGATAGAAACAAATCAGCACTTACTGGAAGAGGATAAAGGAGCAGAAAAGTTACTAAGTGTTGTAGCATCAAAAGCATTCAGCATTTATGTTCTCCTCATCATTTCCACATCAATTTTTCACATCATAAAAATAAGAAACGCAACCATATAGCCACAAGACATGGTAAGGAGGTGCAGAAGAAGGTTTTAAGGCCCTCAGTACTTACTTTCTCCAAGATTGGATTTCAAGATGAGTTGGATCAATTTCCAAACAAGATTACACCCTAAAGCTGCTAGTGATACCAGGACATCCCATTCAGTCCTATGCCGTCCTGATCTGCTTAAAACTGAAAGCTAAATCAAATAGTTGTAAACTTGCTGTACCAATCTGCAGAGAGCAATGTTGGACTACTGACTGTGTACACATTTTATAATAAGCCCAGTAATAAAACATCTGCAATGCTGGAGCTCTGCTGTGCTGTTGATTCTGAATGGCAGGTTCTATTGCTCGTTAGATTAGATAGACTGCGTTTGGTATCGCACTTAGTAAGCAGCATTAAGGAGAAACGCAACAAAATTCAAGCTACTCACAGCTTAAACCATTCCCTTTTCTATTTCAGGCTATTCATACCCCAAGCTCCACTCTGCCTTCTGCTGTTAGAGCGCCAAAGCAAGCAGCAGACAGGCACGCTTTGTACACGGACAGGGTAATGGGGTGAGGTGTCCGCTGCGATACCATTTGCCCGATTTCCTCACACCCTCCGGGCAGTGCGGAGCCGCCGCGCTCGGCGGGGCGCTGACCCCGATGGGCGCTGCCCCCGCGCCGAGCATTACCTCTCCGTGCCCGCGCCC